CTCGTAATTTCCAAAAAAAAAAATTTTTCTCTTAGTATGGCCCTAATACTCCGTTGTACGATCCCAGTTGGATCTTTGTCCAAAATCGTAGGGAAGCCACAATAAACAGCCAAGTAGTATGTATGATGAACTCTTAAGAAGTAAAGCTGCAGAATTATTAATGAGCCTTCTCTCCAACTGCACAGGGAATTTGAGTTTATACCTTCAGTGAGATGTTATAGATTACTGATGGCAAATTATCTACAAGAAATCTTGTGTCACGAATGCCATCAAGGTAATAAATTAAAGTAGGATCCGGTAGACTGAGATACAAGAGTGGTGCTCCTGACTTTTGCACAATATGTCAATATGATGTGTATTAGTGTAGACTTGTGATTTGTACTTTTCTGAATGTTTTTATGTTTTGTGAGTTGTATTTAAAACCGAAGACACATTTTTGACATTGTGGACAATAAAGTTTTGGTGTTCTTATTTGTTGTTGACCCAAGAAGTTTTGATCAGAAGACCTGATTGTCAATATTTTGTGTGAGCTGACAAAGAAACATCTATTTAAATACATCTGTGACTTGGGAGTCAGTGTGTGGGTGTAAACTTCTCGCTGAAATCACACTTAGATTGATAGAATATGTACAAAAACTGCTTCAGTTTTCACCATCAAAAGAGCTGAGAGTAGTTTTCTTACAATTGTAAGATATAGCATTATTATAGCTATATCCTTGGATAGTCAAACCAGTTCTTCCTATATTTCCCATAGGACTTTGCAATTCACTTCATCTACAAAGCCAGAGACGGATGAACAGGAAACTCACACTGGGCTTTCCAGTAAATTCGGTTCATCAGCACCACCGCAGAAGTAAACAAGGCCTCCACAACCTGTGTTCATGTTATGCAACCAGAGTTGTTTAAGCCAAGTCTCGAGGCTTACAGGTAATTGTTTCTTCCAGGTCCTTAAATGCTTCTTTCAAAGCTGTGTTAACACTGTTTACATGTCTGAGACCAACTCCATTCAATGCACAGACCTAATCATTAAATATTCTATTTGTGTTTATATGCAAGGTATTCTTATTGCAGTTTCTATTATTATTTTTGAACACACGCATCCAATGAAGGTTTCAGCTTTCAGCCTAGAATCTGGGTATGTCAGTTTGCATTTCTTTGCTGGCACTCCATCTTCATCTCTTTTGTCTCTATTCACTTTCTCTTCCAGTTTCTTAGCAACAATAGCGGCCTTGCTATAGGGTTGGCAGTGACGGTCTGTGAGACCCACTAGAGTAGACTTCACCTCTGTATGAACTCTTTTCTTTTTGTCTCCAAAACATGAGCTCAAACAGCACACCTTTACAGCCACATAGATTTGTACATATTTCCACCTGTACCGCTCTATCTCTGGGCAGATATACTTATGGCCATTCCTCTTTATAAAAGAACAGATTCCAAGTACTGCTGTATACCATTGCAAGGCTGATGCGCGATCAAGGATGAGATTACAATTCCAAGTAGTGACTTGTAAGCTTTGGGTTGACTTTCACTTTGCTCTTTGCTTTGATTTTGTGGTGGCTTTCACTGGTCAGGAGCTCAAGAAATGTGTTTTAAGTCGCAGGTTGGCGTTACGGGCACATGCTCTTCTGACGGAACAATGTTCACTGTAGCATGCGTGTGTAAACGCAATGTTCCAGTAGCCATGGATACATCCCTATGTGCAACATACATTATTAATTAATTTTCCATACCTTGTTTGTCAAATTCTTACGCACATGCACCATTCACATGCAATCTAACTGGGCTCAGTTCTCAGTGGGGGGGAGGTTAGTGTATGCTTGTATTGACCTGCAAAAATAGGAATTCAAAACAAGTTGTTTTAAATGTTTTGCTGGGTCCCCTGCATGCGTG